AAAATGTAGTTCCAGTCAATAATTATAAAAAAACACCTATATCCAAAAAAGAGATGGGACCATCTCAACATGGTAATACCAGAGAGAATTGGAGGCAATATGATCATTATCAACCTCAAAATAGGGAACCTTACAGATTCCCCCATCCAGGTTTTAAACCATATTTCAATCAAGGCTACAGAGGAGGTGGCTACAGGAGATCATATGGTCATCCACCCAGGTATACACAAGGATATAGACCTAATTATTATAAATCTCCAGGATATAAATCACAAGGTTATCCTCCATCATATAATCACATGTATAATGTTCCAGTTCATAATAGCTACTCACCATTGGAGCAACAACAACAAGATAATTCTATCCCCAACCCTTTTTTAGGGTGGGACTACAATCCCACACACAATATAGAAAGATTAGAAAGAGGGGAAAAAGAGGAGGAAGAAACAGGAAACAAGAAAAGGAGAAGAGACCCATAGATGAAGGTATATACAATTTGAGTGGCATATCACTTACTGACGATGAGATAAAAGCATTAGATAGAGGTTTAAAGTTTGCGCCAACTAATAAATTAAATAAATTTGAAACATATGTAAGTGTGCAAAAATTTGTGAGAAAATTAAATTTAAAAAAATATTTTTTGCAAAATCCGATTAAAACAAGTAGTCAGAATATTAGTAATACACAACATAGTACGTTGAAAAATAAATCTTTATTCAATCCAAAAAATCAAGATAATTTATATATAAATAGCTTCAAGAAACTGGTGATGGAAGATATAGAAACACTAAAGATTAAAACGTTTAAAGGAGAACCTGATATTAATAGAGGAATTAAGTCCCTGCAAGATAGAAACAACATAGTAGTGAGACCGGCCGATAAGGGGGGGGGGGGGATAGTAATACTATCAAAAGACTCATATGAAACTTCTATGAGTAAAATGTTAGAGGATACTAATACTTATTGCAAATTGATTAATAATCCTACGAAGACATATAAAATAGAATTAAATAAATTAATACAATATGGAAAGAAAAAGGATATTTTAGATGAAAAAGAAGCAAAATATTTTGTGCCATCGGTGAGTAAAATACCGATCATATACTCAATACCGAAAATACACAAAAATTTAAAAGATCCTCCTATGAGACCAATAGTCAATGGTATAGATGGGTTAACATCTAGGATTGGACAGTACATAGATCAGTTTCTTCAACCCTTGGTAGAGAAAACAAAAGCGTATATTAAAGATACCACACGTTATTAATATTATACAAACAGTAGAGACGAGTAGTGATCTAATTTTAAGTACAGCAGATGTCTCCTCATTGTATACTATAATTGATCATACTGGAGCAATAGATGCAGCAACATGGGCTTTGAATAAATATTCTTCTCTTCCTAAAAAACAAATAAAATTTTTGATTAAATGCATTAGATTCTGTCTCAGCCATAATTATTTTTGGTATAAGGGTGAATATTACTTACAAGTGAGGGGTGTTGCTATGGGCGCCCGTTTCGCACCCAGTATTGCTAATTTATACATGGCAAAATGGGAGGAGGAAGTAATATTCACTAATATGAGTTATAATATAATTGAATATGGTAGATTTATCGATGATATCATATTATTGTGGAGAGGAGACACATTGTCATTGATTAATTATTACCAAAATTTGAATCAGAATACCAAAAATATTGTATTGAGTTGGAACATCAATGATAAAGAGATCAATTTTTTAGATCTCAAATTAGTGAATACAGGTGAAGGTATAATAACAAAAAATTATTTCAAGAAAACTGATCGTAATTCATATATCCCTGTCAATAGCTGTCATCATAGACCATGGATAAAAATGTCCCGAGGGGACAATTTCTTAGGTTGAGACGGAACTGTACCAATGTTGACGATTATAGAGAGCAAAGTCAAACATTGGTTCAGAGGTTTGTGGATAAGGGTTATAAGAGAGAAACAATACTGGACGAAAGTAGGAGAATAGAATTTATAGACAGAAAAATATTATTAGAAGAAAAAAAGACACAATATAAGGTAGGAGAACAAGAATTATCGATAATATTACCGTACAATAGACAACATAGAGATATTCAGAAAATCATAAATAAACATTGGAATATACTCAAACTAGATAAAACCCTCAAGACCATTGTTAAAGAACACCCTAGGTTCATTTATAAAAGGGCACCGAATATTCGCGATCGAGTAGTAAAAAATGTGCTAGAACCCCCCCGTACATCGAAAAATACTTTGAGTTTCTTTAATGGAACTGGGTTTTATAAATGCGGTCGGTGCTATAGTTGTAGAAAAACGCATGTGAACCCAAGATGTAGACAGTCATTTATGAATCCAAAGAATGGAAAACAATATAAGATCGATCAATTTATTTCTTGTGATAGTAGAGGTGTAGTGTATGCCCTAAAATGTCCATGTAATTATTTATACATAGGCCGTACAAAGAGAAGCCTCAAAGAACGTATACAAGAACATGTACATAATATCAATATAGGGTATAAATATCACCATTTATCAGTACATTTTAAATTATACCATAATCAAGATATAGAGAAAATAGAATTTTGGGGTATTACAAAACATAACTCACACTGGAGGGGAGATAATTTAGTACGCAAAATAAGTAAAAAGGAATCATTCTGGATCTATGAGTTAGGTAGTTTAGCACCAGGAGGTTTGAATAAAGAATTTGATTTATCATGTTTTATTAGTGATGTTTAGATGACAGAATCATATATTAGGGTTGCACATGTTCATACAGTCTCACCTTGTCCTTGGGAGGTTGTATTATCTTGGTGGGATAGGTGATAGAGGAATATTGGGGCTATAGGTAGGCTAGTACTTGTTTCCGGTTAGCCTCTGTCACATATCTCTAAGAGATTGTGCTGACATATTTAATATGTCATGTAGTATATAATGAGATCAGAACAGAGTAATTATAGCAATAGCGTATGGTTCGGTTAAGGAGTTATACATGTATATTATTGACACACTTACATATACAGCATGAGTAGAATAGACAGTGATGTTTTTTTATATAATAAAATATACATTTTTTAATATATTTTTTAATATATTTTTTAATTTTTTATTTTTATTATTTTCTTATTTTATTTTATTTATTTTTCATTTTTATTTTTATTTTTATTTTATTTTATTTTATATTTTTTGGTATTTTATTTATCATGATATATATATTATTTTTAAAATTATTTAATTAAAATTTATTTAATGTTATATTACGCCCTGCATAGTTATTTTCAAGTATGGTAATATAAAATATTTGTATATTCTATATATGAGAAGGTTAGTACTATCGTACGATTTTCTTTAAGTATTAAAATTGGCTGATGTGTATATAGAAAGATTGTTTGAATCCACGCTGACTGCGGAATCATGTCACAATGTATCCCTCCGGGAGGAGTAATGCAGTATAAGAAACAAATGTATCAAAGCGAGAGAGTGTTAATAGAATGGAATTGCCCCCAGTAACATGGCTGCCCCCTGTAGATAGTCAACAAAATGGCGGAGCCGAGCTATATATGCCGGCAATGGGAGAGTGACGGACCTATCAAATCCCCCTGATGAAGCCACGTGACCAGTGGCGTAACGCGTAGGGGTGGGACTGTAATGTCACTCGGAGGGAGTTAGTTTGTTCGCCAGACGACGGGTGCATGCTTCAAACAGTCAGCGGAGGACTCGGTTCATATTTGATATGCTTTATATTGAATACAACACATGTGAGTGTAATACTTGGAGATAATAAAGCCATATTTTTAAAAAGGATAAAACACCATGTTTAGAATTGTTTTCCTATATGTGGAGAGACGTATGGAGAGGAGAGTATAGAGGGCTTGTGTCCTCGTGAGAAGGGATCAATCCCAGAGCAAAAATCAGTGATAACGGACATCCACTATTTTAAAGGAAAGAGTCTTAATCCAGCAGGTGTCAGGGCTCCCAGGTATGACCAGAGGTGTGTGACTGACGCAGGGAAACGCACACTTCAGATAAGTTATAAACAATGTAATTTATTAACACTAACAATACAAACATAAACGCAGTGCAATACTAAACATAATACAGTGCAAACAAACCCAACCAACCACCCACAGATAACAGTACATACAAGCAAGCGTCGTCAGGCAGGCCGGATCACTATCAATTGGGCAGGTAGGTACAGGGGGAGCAAGCGGAGAATGGTCGGGGTCACAGGCCAGGTTCAGCAGGTAGCAAGCAGCGTAGTACAGAGGGTCAGGCAGAGGGATGGTCAAGGTCACAAGCCAGGGATCAGAACAGGTAGCAAGCAGCGTAGTACAGAGGGTCAGGCAGAGGGATGGTCAGGGTCACAAGCCAGGATCAGAGCAGGAGAAGTCAGCAGCAGTTCAGATCAGACAGGGTGAGCAAAGGAACAGAAACAGGATGCAGGACAGATACAGGGCCCAGGACAAACACAACACCAAGGCAGAGTCTGTGGGTCTGGCCATCCCTTAAATACCCCAGCATAATCAGTTCCAGGTGTTAGCTGGCTGCAAAGTTGAGTCTCTGATTGCTGGGAGCATCCGCTGGCCAGCCCTGGTACTGCAGATCAAAAGGCAGGTGAGTCCCACCATTGCTGGCCAGTCTATACCTGACAGTACCCCCCCCCTCAAGGAGCGGCCTCAGGACGCTCCAAACAGTCCTAGCTGGGAAAAATGTTCCACCGCCCGGGTCTGGTAACTGGCGGGATATCAAAGACTGGCACAGCGGGCAGAACTCCGGGCAGCGGTACACCGGGCAGAGGCACATCGGGCTGGACTCCGGGCAGAGGCACATCGGGCTGGACTCCGGGCAGAGGCACATCGGGCAGAGGCACACCGGGCAGAGGCACACCGGGCAGAGGCACATCGGGCTGGACTCCGGGCAGAGGCACATCGGGCTGGACTCCGGGCAGAGGCACATCGGGCTGGACTCCGGGTAGAGGCACATCGGGCTGGACTCCGGGCAGAGGCACATCGGGCTGGACTCCGGGCAGAGGCACATCGGGCTGGACTCCGGGCAGAGGCACATCGGGCTGGACTCCGGGCAGAGGCACATCGGGCTGGACTCCGGGCAGAGGCACATCGGGCTAGACTCCGGGCAGAGGCACATCGGGCTACCAGGCGAAGCAGCAGGCAGCGGGCCACCAGGCAGAGCGGCAGGCACCGGGCCCCCGGGCGGAGCGGCAGGCAGTGGGCCCCCGAGCGGGGCAACAGGCCCCGGGCCCCCGGGCGGGGCGACAGGCCCCGGGCCCCCGGGCGGGGCGACAGGCCTCGGGCCCCCGGGCGGAGCGGCGGGCGCCGGACCCCCAGGCGGAACTACAGGTCTCGGGCCCTCAGGCGGAGCGGCGGGTGCCGGACCCCCAGATGGAGCGACAGGCCTCGGGCCCCCAGGCGGGGCGACCGGCATCGGGTCACCAGGCATCAAGTCATTTGGCTTGACAGCGAGCACCGCGTCATCTGGCAAGGCAGTGGGTTCCGAGTCAACTGGCATGACCGCGGGCACTGGGGCAGACATTGAATCGTCTGGCTGGACAGCGGGCATCGGGTCACCAGGCACGACAGTGGGCTCCGAGTCAACTGGCACGACAGCGGGCACCGGATCAGGTACCGGATCATCTGGATCAACAGCGGGCATCGAGTCAACTGGCCTAATAGGATCGTCAGGCTGGATCAGTTCATCATGCTGGGTAGAGGCATCAGGCTGAATGCCGGCGTCCGGCTGAGAAGAGGCTTCGGGCCGAGTAGAGGCTTCAGGCCGAGTAGAGGCATCAGGCCGAGTAGAGGCATCAGGCCGAGTAGAGGCTTCAGGCCGAGTAGAGGCTTCAGGCCGAGTAGAGGCTTCAGGCTGAAGAGAGGCATCAGGCTGAGTACAGGCATCAGGCTGAGTACAGGCATCAGGCTGAGTACAGGCATCAGGCTGAGTAGAGGATTCAGGCCAAGTAGAGGCTTCAGGCCGAGTAGAGGCTTCAGGCCGAGTAGAGGCATCAGGCCGAGTAGAGGCATCAGGCCGAGTAGAGGCTTCAGGCCGAAGAGAGGCATCAGGCTGAGTACAGGCATCAGGCTGAGTAGAGGATTCAGGCCGAGTAGAGGCTTCAGGCCGAGTAGAGGCTTCAGGCTGAGTAGAGGCTTCAGGCTGAACCACGGAAGGCAGGCTCACCGGTTTGGATACTGGCAGGATGGTATTGGTTGGAAAGAATTTTCGCTTTTTTCTGGTTTTAACTACTGGAGCACTGCAAGTAAACGCAGGTCTGCAAACAAATGGAGCAGCTGGAGACAGAGAAGAGCTGGAGGATGGAACAGGGGAGGGAGCAGTTGCTACAGAGGGCTTTTTTACAGGGTTAAAGGCAGGATAGGTGCAGCGAGTGGGAACAGGGGACTGACATGCGGTAGATAGCCAAGTATACTGGGCTGTAACTGGAGGAGCTGTTGGGAATACAGGAGTAGAGTTAGAAGCAGGACTGGGTCTTTGTAAGCTGACTGAGGCTGGGTGCAACAAGTCTGTCCATGTCTGCAGTATGGGTTGAACAAAGCTGAGCTTACACAAAGCCTGTCTGGTCAATGACTGCACTGCGTTTATACAATCTCTTAGTGTCTGTGGTGAACATGTGGAATAACGCTCCAGAAAGTAACCCACATCATCCTCTAATAACCACACCAGGGACTCTACCTGGTCTGCACTAAATGGTGGCAAAAATTCATCCCTGCATTCGGGGGTACCAGATGAAACCAACTCTGCACAAACCTCAATCAAAGGCTGCACCTCAGAGAACTCTGTGCCCTGATCTACTAGAACATGAGCGAGCCGTATACATTCTAGCAGTTCATCCCGGGGATACTCCTTCAGAGTCTGATAAGCATACTCCTTGGCCTTGGTGTAATGTCAGGGCTCCCAGGTATGACCAGAGGTGTGTGACTGACGCAGGGAAACGCAGACTTCAGATAAGTTATAAACAATGTAATTTATTAACACTAACAATACAAACATAAACGCAGTGCAATATTAAACATAATACAGTGCAAACAAACCAAACCAACCACCCACAGATAACAGTACATACAATGCAAGCGTCGTCAGGCAGGCCGGGTCAATATCAATTGGGCAGGTAGGTACAGGGGGAGCAAGCGGAGAATGGTCGGGGTCACAGGCCAGGTTCAGCAGGTAGCAAGCAGCGTAGTACAGAGGGTCAGGCAGAGGGATGGTCAGGGTCACAAGCCAGGGATCAGAACAGGTAGCAAGCAGCGTAGTACAGAGGGTCAGGCAGAGGGATGGTCAGGGTCACAAGCCAGGATCAGAGCAGAAGTCAGCAGCAGTTCAGATCAGACAGGGTGAGCAAAGGAACAGAAACAGGATGCAGGACAGATACAGGGCCCAGGACAAACACAACACCAAGGCAGAGTCTGTGGGTCTGGCCATCCCTTAAATACCCCAGCATAATCAGTTCCAGGTGTTAGCTGGCTGCAAAGTTGAGTCTCTGATTGCTGGGAGCATCCGCTGGCCAGCCCTGGTACTGCAGATCAAAAGGCAGGTGAGTCCCACCATTGCTGGCCAGTCTATTCCTGACAGCAGGTTCCATAGGAGGTGAACCAAAAGCGCATATAGCCTAATCATAGGCAGATAAGAAGGTGAGCGCACATCTGCACTAATGGGAGGATTCACAAACAGTCACGGATTCACATGCAATCACGGATTGAAGATTAATTAAAACACAAAGTCACTTTACAAATCTTTTATGTTATATGGGACACTGTTTTCACACAATATTAATTAAGTATTTATGTATATTTATTTTAATTATTTGAGTAATATATTGTTTCTTTTTTATTATAAGTGATGAATTATTGATTTAGCTATTTTTAATCACGGATTTAGTTATTTTTTAATCACGGATATAAATTAAGATTTGATTTTTTAAGTAAATTAAGGGATTATTTTATATGTTATTTGGTTAAAGCATTTAATATATGATTTTTTCACCAATCTTCATATGGTTATAAGTTTAGGATATGGATAAGTGATTATATGTAAAAAAGTTTTAGGAGCGCAACACAACAGGATTATATTTAATATATAAGAAGACACACAAATGACTAATTACTATAAAATAAAAGGGAATAAAAAGACAGAATAACACTTTACCCTGCGGCTGGAGCAAGCCAGAAAATCAGCAATCCGCTAGTCGATCGAACCAGCTCCGTACGGATCACCCTGTCCAAATGTCCGTGTACCCAATTTATTGGGATTAGGACATGGGCGGGACATTAGTCTTAGGTCAATTGACTCTGGGGGAGGTGGTCCTGACCTGCCCACAAGAGGTACTGTGTATGGACCTGCCCAAGTTCAATTGGGCCGAGACTGGCCTGAACACCAAGTCGGGGATTGGATTTCTGACACCAGCGCGTCAGCCCGATCGCAACAGTACCAAACACCATCCGACTGTCGCACCTCCACGTCATCTAACCATTCCATGCATTTTCCTGGCTTCCTCCCCAAGCCACAAATATGATTCTTATATGCAAATGCAGCATACAGCAGGCCCTGCACAACGGAAGCTTGTTCATATCTCTCCAACTAATATTTCATCTTTTATAAGAGATTAAACATACCCCTTTGATGAATACATAAACCTAGCAGTCCTGTCTAGTGTAACAAGTCCCTAAACAGGTTTTCCCAGCAGGTGATCATCTCATTAACACGAAGGTGTCACCTCCAGGAGGCGGGGCTTTAGACTAATTAACGCTAATTGATGATTGAGTCTGTAAGGCCTATGGAGTAATTGTGTATACATACACATCTGATCCCAGATCCATGGATGACCCCTTGTTTGTACCATCTATTCATTTCCCTACTGCCCAGGGGCTCAATGTACATCCTTAATGACCAGACTGTTCCTGCACACACCTTTGTAATGAAAGGGCGTGGCCTCATCTAATCATCTAATCTACTCAACCTGTCATGGCTATGATACCATATTTCCACTCAAATCTTACATGTCCGTTACAATAAATTTTACATGTCCGTTACACAAAACCTATACAGAAAAAACATTTTAGACTCTTTTTCCACCCTACAAGAGAAATTTAACCTTCCTGACTCGGAATACTAAACCTGCCTGCGAATAGCACACTCTCTACAAAAAACAAACGTTCCACAAATGTTGAAAATCCCTACCACCGCATATCATTTCTTTAATAAAATACAATACCCGAGAAAAGGAATCTCTACCTTTTACACACTTATTACTAGTTTACACCGGTCAAGCTTTCCCTATACTATCCTCAACGCTCTTCAGCTTGTTTGAGACAATGCGGTGACACAGGATCAACTCTTCATATACTCTGGACATGCAAATCCCTTAGATCATACTGGAATACTGTTTTCCAATTGATCTCAACAATAGCAGAATCTCCTGTTTTGCCTAACTCTGCTCTTGCACTACTTCATATCGGAATCGATCAATTCCCAAGAGAATTTCGTACAATTATCATTCATATTCTGGCAGCCGCTAAAATCAATATCACGAGATTGTGGAACTCTACCGAAACTCCCTCCCTCACCACGCTTATAGCAGATCTTAACGTCCAATGTGATATGGAGAGATGATCAGCTCTTAATAACTCCTCTTACCATAAGTTTAAAATCCATTGGGCTAGATAGCTATGAAATTGTTCTGTGAAATGCTGATTACCTGATTGTACAACACTAAGAATTTTCTCATTAGACTGATATAGTGCTGTTCCGTCTCCTCGCCCTTGCCCTTTCCCTCCCCAACCTATCCCCTATCCCTGTCTCTTTCCCCTTTTGTATAGCTTTCACACTCAGCTACGGTTCTTCACCCAAATTAAGTCTCAAGTTCAGTTACATGTCACTAACTATACCCCCAGCCAAATGGTGGGGACTTTATTTTGCATGCTATTGTCCGTTGTTGTTTAAATTGTTGACTCAAACCGTATTGTGATACTATGTTCGGTTTAAAATCTTCAATAAAAATCTGTGAAACTAAATCCATAAAGGCTTTTGTTATTCAGTGGAAGTTGCTTCCCCTGCAAGGGGAAGATAAATTTAATGCTTGATAAGTGGGCCATAAAGGTCTTGGTGATTTTTTTTACTTTTTTTTTCTGCTTTATGTAATTTTTTTGATGGTTGAAGGAGGCCATAAAGGCCAAAACCAAAATATGAAGATGCAAGGTCAGGAAGACCTTATATACGAATATTGTTGGGCTGGAGGTCATAAAGGCCTCTATCAATGCTTTCTTACCTGCACAGATAGCAAAGCCATGAAGGCTAAAGTTTCCTTTTTCTAATAGTATATATCTGATTTAGGGAGTTGTATCCTATTCTTGTTTTTGCTTATGTTTCCAGATAATTGAATACTGTACATATTTATTTATTTATTCTTTTTTTTTTGTATAAAATGTAAGCTGGTTGCAAGATTTTATTTCAATAAAATATCTCCAGCTATCCCACTCAGCTCGGGTGTGGTTGCATGCTGGAGAGCTCTGCAGTGCTTCCAGGGCCCTGAGAAAGCCAGGGGCTAGATTTGGTCTGCCTGCCCAGGGAGGATGAGCGGTCCTGGGCAGGATCCCAGTGGAGGGAGACCCCCTGAGGGCCTCATACCAACACCAGTTGAGGACTTGGGAATAGGCCAAAGG